TATCTAGCAAACTAGATTAAGAATTGATTTATAAACTACTCTACTGACTACTCTACTAATTACAAGTTGGGAACTCACTTAGGTATGATTCCCCCTAGCTCCTCAATTAGGTCCAAGTTGCAATTACCTTTGGTTGATCTACTGATGATTAGACTGCGGAAGATCCTAAATTAGCTTGGAATCTCTTAAGCTGACCAAGCCCTCTTAGACAGAATACCCGGCAGGCGACTAGCCTTCACCGGGATAGACTGCTAAGGCGATTCACACAGATCTCCACTACTGGAATGAATTCCAGTACAAAGCAGTGAATTGATTGACTCTCGCACAACCAATTAACTATTATCAATCAAGGAAGCTCTCTTAACCTAATCAGATTCTATCAATCATAGGTTAAATCAGAAATCAAGAGAATTTGATCAAGATTCAATTGACTCAACAAATCATGCATCAATCGATTATAATCACACAATATAGCATCCAAAACTTCATACAAGAAAGATCCTAACACATGGAACTAGGGTTCCTCAAAACCTAGGTGAAGAAGTTACTCCATTGAGAAGAGAGAGACTGCAGAAATCTGATCTAGATCTCCAATCTCCATATCCAAGCTTGATTCCTGAGCTCCAATGGCGAAGAAATCCTCCAAAATAGCTCCAAGAATGTTCCCAAGTCGCTCTCTCTCTCTCTCTCTAGGGTTCGTCCCTTGGGTGTTTGGGAACCAAAAAACCCAGCTCTCCCCTTTCCTTTTGCTAAAAATCGGGTTTTAACCAGAAATTTCTGATCACACGGCCAGGCCACATGGCCGTGTGGCTTTCCCAGCTGCCCGTGTGAAGGCTCGGTGATTTCCACACGGCCACATGGCCAGGTCACACAGCCATGTGGGTTTTTAGGCTTGCCCGTGTGGCTTGCCCACATGGCCAGATCCCAGACGCTCGTAGTCTCGTCCTCTTTCTTTTCATGACAAAATTCCATGATTATTGGTCCATAATATGAGGTATAAGTCCATTATTCCTCGGGTCATGCTCGTGTTTCTTCTCCCGAATTGCCAAATGATCTCTGATTGACTTGAAACTTGCGCCTATGCTTCAATTTACATGCTAGGACCTGAAATGTGACAAAGGAACACAACCTAGCGTAAAATAGTCCAAGAAAGCAGAAACTCAAGCCAAAATGATCAAGAAACGAGGGTGCAAACATGTTCAAATCCGATGTTATCAGTTGTACCACGACATCATGGGGGTCTCTCATGACCAGTTTATTAAATCAATGAATTAGACGCCTTGGCGTCGATTGTTTTACCAAAAAAGGGTAAACTTCAAAGGAGTACACATGACAACTTTCTAATTGTTTCTTCCCTTTTTCTTAACTCATTCTCTCCCAGTTTATTTCATCTTAATCATGACTTTCATAAATTAATTTTTGTTTGTTTGCTGAATTCGAATTTCGTACTCTTCTCTTGCGCTCAAGGATCGACTTTCGTATGTGGTTTTGCATTTTTGCTCATCTCTCTCGCTCGAGTAGAATAGGAAGTTTGTGTACTCAACCATACACATAAAACAACCAAAGTGAACATTGTAAACAAATATGAAACACACGACAACCTCAATTCTAAACTTTCGACCTTTACTTCAAGTGAGGTGAACTGCTGCTTCATCTCATCATTCTTTGCTGCGAGTGCTTCAACAATACCTTCACTGGAAAGACGAAACTTATCGCCTAGGTACATAGTACCTAGAGGAACTTGATTCACATATGCTCTTCCCTCTTTTCTTTGTATTCATGCTGACAAAGTAGGAGTAAAATGAAGAGGAAATCAGGATTGGAGTCCATGCAACATGAAATTTTGGGTTTTCACCCCTCAATCGAGCTTTATTCCTAAGCCATTAGTACTCTTGTACCTCGAAAAAGGTCAATCAAATCTCCAAGCTTTTGGCCAATAAACCGCCTCCGATCTCGCGTTCGACTAGCAACCTTTGCCCAGTTGATCACCTCGGACCTCGCCGTCGACGCTGCTTCTTCTTCGTGCACCCAAACCGCACTGTCCTCGTCTTCGTGGCACTCTAATTCCCTCAACCCCCCCCCCCCCACGGGTCGCTGGTCACTCTTCGTGCACAGCTGGATGAGATATAGTGAAAGCCAAAACAAAATGAAGAATAGATATATGGTGTTAGGTGAAAAGTCAATTTCTGATTTAATATTTATGAAAAAAAAATATTTTCCAACGTGTCAATAACGTGATATATAGGCTGGAACGAGTTCAACAAAATATTGACCGTTGTTTCGTTGATCGTAGTCTAATGGTCAACGATACAACGGAGGACAGTTATAACATCACACTCCCGAACATTGGGACATAAGTGACACGAAGAGAACATACATGGGGTGCAAGTGACAGAAATCTTAAACGGGTTAAAGACACATTTGGTCACTGAGATTACAAAATCAGGACATGTTTAGTCACTAGAAAAAATTAATATCAAATTTGGTCACTACAATTACTAAAACTGGACGCATTTAGTCACTCGCCGTTAGACTCCGTCCAACTCCGTTAATGAAGTCCGTTAAGTGCTGATGTGGCAAACAGAATTGCCTAATCAGCCGGATATAACCCAACAAAAATAAAACCCGACCCGCCACGTCATTATAACCCACCACCTCATTAAAACCAACCCAACCCAACCCAACCCATGACCCAACCCTACCCAACCCTTCTTCCTCCTTCCTCCCCAACCCAATTTAGGGTTTTCCCCATCCCATAATGGCGGAGAGATTTCTCCGGCCTCCTTCTCCGACTTGGCACCAGGAGCGGCAGCCCATGGCGAGCGGGGCAGTAGTCCGGTCCCTCTTCAATGGCACCAGGAGCGTGAACGAAACTATACTCTTCAATGGCAGTCCCTCTCTCAACTCTTCAATTCACCCAAACCATCCTCCCTCACCTCAAGACCTCCCTCTCCGCCGCCCTCCACCACTTCTTCCCTCTCGCCGGCCACCTAATCTCCCCCGCGCCGCCTACTGACTGAGCGAAATTTCTGCCACCTACTGACTGTTAGAATTTGCTGCGACAGATACTATGGAAGGAAGACTCTTCCCGGAGGACCTGATGAGCGAAATTTTGGTGAGGCTCCCCATCTTCTGCCTCGTGCGTTTCCGATGCGTCTGCAAATCATGGTACTCTCTCCTCTCTGACCCCAAATTCCTTGACAAAACCCTATTCTTGGTCGAGAACGACCACCGCCGCGACGACACTAAAATTATTGTCAAGCTCAAGCTTAAGCCTGCGGACCCATTCCTTTACTGTTCCCTCTCATATGATTCTCTCCAAGTTGAAATCCCCTGTCGAGATTTTCCGGTAGACCTGGGTATTAGGAAGCCGAATCCAAATTACAAGCATCCCGGGTTGATAATGAGCGCCTGTGGCGGCTTGTTTTGCCTTGCTTACTTCACCTAATCTCCCCCGCGTCTGCATCGGCTGCCAGTTCGCCCACGTGGCCACCGACGGGATGGGTTTCCACCACTTCGTCAAATTCTGGGCTTCTCTGTTTAGGTCGTTAAAAACAGGGGAGAAAGAGGACAAGAAGAATACCACTCCTACTGTTCCATCGCCGGCGAGAGACAGGGAATTGATCCGGACTACTTCCCCGCTCGCCATGGGTTGCCGCTCCTGGTGTCAAGTCGGAGAAGGAGGCCGGAGAAGATCTCTCCGCCATTATGGGATGGGGAAAACCCTAAATTGGGTTGGGGAGGAAGGAGGAAGAAGGGTTGGGTAGGGTTGGGTCATGGGTTGGGTTGGGTTGGGTTGGTTTTAATGAGGTGGCGGGTTATAATGACGTGGCGGGTCGGGTTTTATTTTTGTTGGGTTATATCCGTCTGATTAGGCAATTCTGTGTGCCACATCAGCACTTAACGGACTTCATTAACGGAGTTGGACGGAGACTAACGGCGAGTGACTAAATGCGTCCAGTTTTAGTAATTGTAGTGACCAAATTTGATATTAATTTTTTCTAGTGACTAAACATGTCCTGGTTTTGTAATCTCAGTGACCAAATGTGTCTTTAACCCAATCTTAAACTATGAGTATTTTCTAGTATTAAGTTTAAAACGAACATTATCAAGATATTCAACAAGCTAATACTTCTTGGTTAATATTACTTATGCGAAGATTTAAGAATTATTAATCCAGACTAACAGTGGTCTCTACAAGTTGAGAATCTTGGTTGAGGAGTTGTTATTGTTGCCCAAGGAGTTGTTATTATTGGGTGGGTTTTAGCTAATCTTATTTGCTTAGGACCGTTTAAGTTCATGGGCTCTTGATAATTGATATGACTAATTGATGGGGTTAATTGCTGAGATTACAAAAAACGTTCAAGTTTGGTCACTCGAAATATTTAAATCTATTGGTGGTACTTTAGTTTACTGAAATCGTTCACGTTTGGTCACTCTCCGTCCAACTCCGTTAACTTTGGCTGATGTGGCAGTCAACTCAGTGATGTGGCAATTAAAAAATAATAAATAAAATAAAAATGAATCTATTTTAATGTCCAACTCATTTTTACCATAAAATAAATAAAATAAAAAATAGATTAATTTTTTTACAGTCTTGTTCTGGAGCCCAAAGATTTGGCCATGTATTTCACTGGGGCAAATCGTCGAACACCTTATCGGTACTTCTCATTCAGCGGAGTGAGCCGCATCTTTCTCCCGGACAACACCACCACACTGAACACCACTTTCAATGCGAACTTGGATCTCGAGACCAAAGTCACCGATTCCACCGTCGATGGCGGTGGCACTTTCTGTAAAATCCCGCATTTCAACACCACGTTGTCATACCTCCGTCTGGAAATCGACGGCAATTTGAGGATCCACACCTTCATAATCAGCACCGATACCGACGGGTTCCAGACCCAGCTGTGGGGAATCGCGGTGATCGTGTTCTCTGAAGACGATCCGTAGGCACTAGGGAGTTTGGCGTCTGCGAGAACAGCAGTGCGTCAGGTGCCCTACACCGAACGGGCAGCTGGCGGGGTGGGGCAGCGGTTGCGAGGCACCAAAGGTAAGGCGGAAACGGTGGCCGGAATTGGAATTCGAATTGGGCAGTAATAATCCCAGCGGGATTGTACACATCCTCGACCTATCAAAGCGGCGGCGAATCTCTTCGCCGATTTCTTCGTTGCGAACTGGGTGTCGTCGAATTCCAAGACTGGGTAAGATCTCCAGAGATTGGCCCATCTTTGGGACAGGACGCTAGTTTTCGCAGCTTCTTTTGAGGGTTCTATGCGAGTGAGGATCTTATGGATGACGTCTTCGGGTAATTCCGACATCCGGTCGACCTCGCCGGTCAGGATTTGATTAGTTTCTCCATAGTCATTGGTCTCCAGGCAGGGACGCTTCTCCATAGTTTAGGGACAGGTGGGTTGAAGAACAGAAACGAAGAAACAGAGGATGGTTTCTTAATTCAACCCTATTAGGTTTTGGGTTCTTAATTCAACAACCTAGGTCAGCCAAATTGATCATCATTGATTCCAAATATTTTGAGCTGAAGGGGTGGATGACTTTGTGGTGAAGTATACGAGAGGCGACGCGCCGGTGAAGCAACAGTCATGCACCGACAAGTGCAGCAAGGATTAAATTTTTATTTTTTTTATTTTATGGTGAAAATGAGTAGTACATTATAATAGATTAAATTTATTTCATTTATTATTTCTTAATTGCCACGTCACTAAGTTAACGGTCAATTTTGAGAGTTGACTGCCACGTAAGCAAAAGTTAACAGAGTTGGACGGAGAGTGACCAAACGTGAACGGTTTGAGTAAACTGAAGTACCACCAATAGATTTAAATATTACGAGTGACCAAACTTGAACGTTTTTTGTAATCTCAGTGACCAACCATACAATTAACCCCTAATTGATGAGCCTCTAAATCTCAAATACCTAAAAAGAGTCCACGAACCCAAAACGAAATCTAAAGTCCCAAACCACGTCACATGATAATTAATCTCCACTGAAGCACAAAAGAGTATTAAAAACATAGCAAAAGAAAACCACTAGATTATGTTGCATACACAAAACTTATCCCCCACGAGAAGCAATGTGATGATGTTAACGCAAGAAACGACGTCGAGAATATCTTTCTCAAGCTCGCTTGTGATGTCGTCAACACACCTTAAGTATGAGGAGAATCGATCTTAGAGATGACAAGCTATTCACCAAACATGGTATATATGTCGTTCGACAACGTTCAATACTCACATCCCTTAACTATAATTACATCAACCAAAAAAAAAAAAAACAACAACAACAACTTATATTGAGAGATGAATTCATATGAAAAAACAAAGTATTTTTTACTTTATGATTACATTGGCAAAGGAGTCGTGGAATTGGAAGCAAATCACAGTGTTGGTGCTTCGTGGGTCGGTGAGGAGTGACTTCCTCAGTACTTCGTTGACGATGAACTCAAGGGAGAGTAGGCGGAGGAGTAGTACATGCAACACAACTATTGAAGTTTTTTCGAATTAGACAAAATAACTTACCTACATGCGTCGTTCTCACGGGTAGGGGTCCTCTCTGAAGTCCGCCACAAGCGACTAGAACTCCCAATCACGATTGATCTCGAATACACTCCATCGCCACTGAGTCCCAGTTTAACCCCCTCATCGAACCACTTCGAATGTCGCCTCTATTACAGAGCCGGAAGAGAGAAAGATTGTAAGAGATAATGAGATGGAGAGGGACATAAACACCAGAAATTTAACGAGTAGAAAAGTTAAGTTTTAGGATCGAGAAAGCACCTGTTGCGAGAAGGATAACATATGAGAAGATTAGAGAGAGGGACAAGTAGACAGAAGGCGAGCAAGACTCAAATTTCACTATTAATTAATTGAGAAAATGCAAAAATTGGATTGTCGTAACCCTCCAATACGGCCCGTAATTCATGCCCATATTAAAGATTAGTGGTTGTCTCGTGAAACTTAAATTGGTCGTTGATACTCCGCGGCATAGCACGGCGTCACAAACTAGTTAGAGGTATAAAATTGGTACTCAAATGATGGTCAATTGTTGAAGTTAGTGACCGAAGACCCTGAATTATAGTATATCCTTAATGAAGTCATCCTCTCTTCTGAATTCTGATTTTTTTCTCTTCTAAATTCTGATTTTTTTCTTATTATTAAACGTATCATTTTTTCCATATCCTGTCATTGTGCATTACATCTAGAGTCTAGACGTAACAAAGTGGCTCATCAAAGTTGTACCGCATTAATTCTGTCCACCGGATTAATTCTGTCCATGTGCCAGTGCCACCATCATTCAAGCATTTTGTACACCTCTACTATGGTAAATTAACAAACATACCCCTCTACTAAATTTTTGCACAAATATACCCTTTTAAAATTAAAACGTAACGAATTTACCCTTCCATCCATTTATCTGTTAAGTGACCGTTAAGTATGATGTGAAATGACTCTATTACCCTCATTTACTCTTAAATACTCATAATTTTGATTTTAATTATTTTATGTCCATAATCAATTAATTAAAAAATAAAAAACCTAGGTCGACGGCCAGCTTCCCGAATCTGTCACCGCCGGTAGTGATCTCACTTTGATGAAGGCGGCGGCGGCGGAGGATGGTCTGAGCGACTGGAATACGAAGAGGCGGCAGCGGAGATGAGCTTTTGTGGTGGTTGTGTAAAAACCCTAAACTAATGGGCTTTATTTATAGTGATGGTTGGTATTACTACCACCATCGCCAGCACAAATCTCAACCAATATGCTCCTTGCGTGAAGGAGCTACGGCTGTAGCATGTATGAGAGGATGGTGATGAAGACGCGGACACCAGTCCCGCGGCGGCTTTGGGGAAGATGAACGGGAAATAGTTTAGGTTTTCAATTTTTTTAATTATTGATTTGGGACATAAAATAATTAAAAATAAAATCAGGAGTATTTAAGAGTAAATGAGGGTAATTGAGTAATTTCACGTCCCACTTAACAGTCACTTAACAGTTCAATGGATGGAAGGGTAAATTCGTTACGTTTTAATTTTAGAAGGGTATATTTGTGCAAAAATTTAGTAGAGGGGTATGTTTGTTAATTTATCATATTAGAGGGGTACAAAATGCTATTAACCCTTTTATTTTCACTAGCTAATCTTAGTTCCAAATGCAAGCATGGCTTCACCGCCATCACTTTGTTGTTCCTTTGCCTTTGAATCGGTAATGTTTACGTCCTAACACATACTAATTACCAGATTATTATTTGGCTTTCTCGACCATGGACCAGGCTCGACGCTAGTTAGATGACTAAGTCAAAAGGTTAGTCTTAGTCACATAATTATGGAGGATAAAATAGCCATTCATTTATTAATACCATTCACTAGTTACATAAATTTCCTTCTAATAAGATCTCCATGTAAATTACGCAACTAATGAAGAGAACTTTAAATTTAACTCGATAACTAACTTGAACGACATTCTCGTTCAAAATTTTGAAACTTTCAACCCTAACTATAATCTCTCTGAAATCACATACAGATCTCTCTAATCACTCGGCCCAGGGGAAAAAGGAGATGCAAAGCGTAAGAGTGCGTGAAAGAAAGTTAAATGAAACAGTGAAGAAAAAAGGGGATCGGAGAACAATATTACCTTTTTCACGGCGAACATGGAAACGAGATCCGCAAAGCGAAAGAAGCAGCTCTGCTTCCCGCCGGGCAACGACGACGGCGGCGCGTCGCAAATCGACCGAATCACCGACCTCCCGGACCCACTCCTCCACCACATCCTCTCCTACCTCCCAATCAGATCCATCGCCCAAACCTCCGCCCTCTCCAGACGGTGGCGCCTCCTCTGGTCCACCTTACCGGACCTCGACTTCACCACCGCCGCCGCCGCCATAAAACGCTCTTCCATTCCCCCCAATTCGTACATCTCCACCGTCCTCTCCCTCCGCCACAAGCACTCCGACCTCCGCTCTCTCCGCTTCTCCGCCCGCCTCACCTTCTCCACGCTCAACTCCCTGATCCGCCTCGCCGTCCGCCACCGCGTCCAGTACCTCGACGTCGAGGTCTCCACCGACGACTACTTCAACTTCCCTCGCGGCGTAATCGCCAGCGAAACCCTAAGGACATTCAAATTGAAATCCCGATGCCCCGGATTCCGCCTCCTCCCGTCCTCCGTCATGGCCGGCGGCTTCCGGAACCTCGATTCCCTCTCCCTGTCGCTCGTCACGCTCCACGACCAGCAGTCCTCCCTCCTAGATCTCTTCACCGAGACCTCCTTCCCCTGCCTCCGCAAGCTCGACCTCGACACCTGCTTCGAATTGCGGCACCTCAAGGTCGGATGCCGCGCGCTCGAGGATTTCTCGATCGAGAACTGCTTCCACCTCCGCGGGCTCGAGATCTGCTGCGCGAAATTGACATCACTGAGAGTGGCCAGCTGCTTCGATGCTTACTGCGACGAGACGCGGGTGGAGATTAGGAACGGATCTAGGATTCGGTTCGTGGCGTGGGAGCAGAACGCCATCACCGGGAAGAGCGCGGTGGAGGAACTGAGGGCGGTGCGAGAGGCGTCGATTGGGTTCTTTGTGGATGATTACGATGACATTTGCTCCGACAAGCTTCAGAGCGTTTGCAGTTTCATGAGTGGCTTCTCCCGCGCTGACTCTTTGACCCTTGACAGTCAGTGTATTGAGGTATATATCAATGATTGTGAAATTGTAATCAAAGTTATTTCGAAAAAGTGATTAATACTGCGATTCTTCCAATATGGAACTAATAGGATAGAGTTTCTAAAACATTGTTATGTATAAATTGTCAAATTTTTTCAGCCAAAACGGTTTTGACTAATTACATTGTCTTCACTCATATTTGTGTTGTGCATTCATGGCAGATACTGTCGAGCAGCAAGTACTCGGCACATTTTGTGCACCCAATATTCAGCGATGTCCGAACGTTGGAGTTGCATACGGGTTTCAACAAGAAGAATGTAGCAGGGCTTGCATTCCTCTTTAGAAGCACTCCGACGTTGCATACTCTCGTTCTCAAGATCATGAATGACCACAAGACTGAAAGAAGGGTGAGTGTTATTATCATCATCATCATCATCGTTAGGATTGGAGTTCCGTTCGGTTTCGATTAAACCCAAATTCAATTTGGCCCCATTTAAGCGAATGTGATTGTCACCGATGTGGTTTTCCGTTACTCAAGATTTGAATGTTTCGTTTGTTATACAGCCGTCAATATAGTCGAAATTGCATTTTGAAACTTACATGTTTACCCTTTTACGTTTCTAGGTTATCAAAAAATTTAAAAATAGAATCACATTTTTTTGGCTTACTAGTGTAGTAAAAATCGCTTTTTAAATTTAAAATTTACGTTCATATTTTTTTAGGTCACCAAAACACTTTTATATAGAGTCTCTTTTGACTACATTGGCTGAGGTTACCAGCATTGAACCTAAATAAACCATTGGGTTTGGTCCATTATCTGGGTGGATCTTGTTGTTGGGATGACATGGTGAACTAGACCCCAAATTTGGCTGGATCTCAGTTATTTCTTGTGAATTTGGTTTCAATCAACCCGCTGAACCATCTATCTAAATTTACAATATTTTAATAAGTATTAGGTGTTATTTATCATTTACCATCGTGGTTGTATTTACGATGATAATGGAACCAGAAATCGTTTTTTTTTTTTATCATTATACCATGATCACTTCTCTTCCTCATAGATTAACAAACTATCTCTAGTAATCTCACTTCATTACTTTTGCTCGTTTTTTTTTTATTATCTCAGCAATGGAATAAGGACTTGTGGGACGTGGCCAATTGTGAACAAGAACAGTATTGGGAGTCTCAAGTCCAGAGCTTGAGTTCATTCTTAAACCATCTCAAGATAGTGAAGATATATGGGTTCCTAGAGTACGAGAATGAAGTTAGCCTAGCCAAATTTTTGCTCAAGCATGGTAAAGACTTGCAGGAAATGACCCTCTCCACGCCTCACCATTGCAACTACAGAGATAGCTTGAGGCGGCAGAAAGTTAGATCTCAGATGATGGGCTTCTCATGGGCTTCCTCTAATGCCAAAATCTCCTTCCAATGACTCCACCTAGAGATGACATTTGAACTCGAAACTACGGGTTTCCAATTCGATCTAATTCGGTTAAAGCGAGTAAAACTCAATTTTTATGGGTTCTTGGTAGGGTGTAGGTTTTACTCGCTTTTGAAATTGACGGGTTGGATTGGATTTGGGTTTTACTAAAATCCAACACGCTTTCCATCCGACCCACACTCATGAAACAAACCGATATCATTTCGTAACTAACAACAACAATTTGAATAATTTATGGACGTTATTAGTTTTTGTGCAAATATTTGTTCTTTGCACACTATATATACAAACCATGGTTCAAAAAGGCAGACTTAAACTAACGATTAGACGATAGACAATGTCAAAATGGCTCATCCAGGGATTTCTTAGCGAGTTAGGTATCTAGTACGCAACAGCGAATTGAGGTGACACTTAGGTATTAATAGGAAGAGCAAGATGATAAATATAAATAAAGGGGAAAGATTATTATCAATAAATTCAATCTTTCCTCTCAAATTTTTAAATAGTTGACGAACTTTGTGAGCTATTGAGCTATAATTTTTTTTTATACCTATTTTGCTTGTTTTAAGTTTTACGTAAGATCATAGTTCAAAAAGGCGTGCTTAACCTTACGCTTAGGAGTTCCGCACCTAGTTAGGTATTGGGAACACGTCAACGAAGTAAGGTGACACCTAAGTTTATCCTATGCATAATAGATGAAGCTAGACAATCCACATTAAGGAAGTTTTGTAGTATCAACTACGTAATCAATTTTATACGTCAATAGTTTCAATAGCTCAAGAACTATGTGAGCTATTGACTCCGATTCTATGAATTTGTGAGTTATTTTCTTATCATTAAGCGTAAAGTAAGTTATAATCATTTTAACCAAAGTGAGGAAGTGTTTAAGTTATGATTGCATTCATCATGTCGTGCAAATAGTTATCTTTTTCCACCGCCTGGGCAAGCTTAGGCTACTGTTAAGCAAGCTAGGCTCTAGGCAAGGCCTCAACGCTCGCTTTACGTCTAATGTCTTCTTGAACTTTGCACAAGATATTTAATCCCTTTACCAAAATATTGAAATTCCCTAACCTACTAGGTAATTCATTATTTAGTAAAAAATACTATTTTACTTCTAGCACCTAAACATGTTTAAACGACATCTAGACGAACTAAGCACTAAGCAAGACTGCAGCAGCGTCCGTCTTATGCCAGACACCTTCTTAAACCTTGATAATTTGATTTATTAACTCCTTCATTAACCACAACCAACCAAATTCACGAGAGCTCATTCATATTAGACCATATTACATGCAATTATGGAGCCCATTTAGGCAATCTAGGGCTGAAGTGGCTCGACACAACCCTAGAATTCAGCATCTCAAATATGGGTCCACGCTTCACACATCTTGGAGTCTTGTACTGATTGATGGAAGCCCCGAGTTCTGTCACCGCATGGTCCATAATCGCATCAAAAGTTCCACTCTCGACCACCCTTATCTCCAAGGGCCCAATGGAGCTGTCCCAAACCCGGCCCTGTCTGTAAACACTGTTCAGACCCTCCTCCACAGCGAGGCAACTCTCCGAAACAGTACTACTGCTCCTCTCTATCATGACGCCATTATCGATCTCCCAAAACAACACGTAATGGCCCGGGACGTTCGAGGTCTCCGCGTAGCTCGTGTACTCCACCTAGGGGTGTCAAAATGGGTTCGGGTTTTCGGTTTAACCCGAAACCGAACCGAAAATGAAACTTGATGGGTTCGGGTTCTCGGTTTCAACCCGAAAGTGTGATGCTCCGGTTTCGGTTCACTTTAACCCGAAAACCGGTAAGGAACCGAAAAACCAAATGTTGCTTAGTTATACGCTGTCGTTTTCTGTGTAGGGAATAAAATCTCTCAGATGGAAAGAAATTAATCAGCTCTGCCCAAAAATTATTCCATCCCCATCATCCAAAATGGAAGATCTCGAAGGCGACGATCTGAATCTCAGCTTGTCCATCCCCGTCCGTACGACGGATCATCGCCCCGACAGCGGCGGCGGGGGATAAAGAGGAAGCGATCGCCGCCGTTGCCGCTGCTGTCGACCTCATCATCGTCGACGACGGACGGCAGCCCGAATCACGACGGCGGAAACATAGAGGGGAAGATCTTCCGTCTCCTCCAAATGCGCGAGCAGATAATCAAGCGGCCGCGAACTGACACGACCCATCATCGGAAATCTCCTCCGCCAGCAGAGGACGAAAACGACGGCGGGAGCAAGGAGGGACTCCACCTGATACACTCGCTCCTCATCGCCGCCACGGCGGTCGACGAGGGGAACTCCGATTCCGCCCTCGAGAACCTCGCCGAGCTCTACCGGACCGTGTCGCTGGTGGGCGTCTCTGTTCAGCGGGTCGTCGACTCGTCGCCCACTTCGCCGACGGATTGTACAAACAAAAAAATATAAAATTCAAATTGCAAAAGCATGGAAAAAATTAAACCGGTTCGGTTTCAGGTTCACCCGAACCGCACCCAAACCGCCAGTGTTATTTTCGGGTTTTTGAACCCGCGTCCCGCAAAACAAAGGCTCGGTTTCGGTTTCGGGTTTGTGGGAGCCGGTTTCGGTTTTTCGGGTTTCTGCGGTTTTCGGGTTCGGTTACCCGAACCGAACCGACAGGCCTAACTCCACCAGCGATGCACCCAACGGCGCGAGGTGCTGGACTGCAGCTCTCGTCACCGCGGTCTGTAGCTCGACCTCGTCGGTTTTATCCGAATCGATGCTCAGGACCACGTTCTTCCTGCACACGAAGGTGAACTGTGGCGCCTTATTTTTGAATCCTCCAACTCGTAGCACGTCTCCCACCCTGTACCGATACAGACCTAGCTACCACATAAAAAGAAAAAGAAACCAGTTATTGATCGATCATTCCAATAATTCATATATAACAAAAATTGTACAAATGTAGTGGTGGTAAATTAGTAATTTAATTATTACCTGCGTAAGTGGTGACAACTAGCTCATACTCTTGCCCTAGCTTCACATCCACGAGATCAACCAGCTTGATCTCCCCATAATTATCATCATCACAATCACCATCATCATCATGATCTGCCTTCTCGACGAATCGATCGACGGGAAGGAACTCGAAGTAGGCCATGGTCGGTACGAGCGTGTACAAAACCTCGTCAGGGTTGCACAACGGGTTCAAGTTCAGCCCGAAGTAACACTCGGAAGAAGCGTACATTGAACAAACGAGCGGCAGACTTCCACCGCCGTAATGATCGATGGCGGGAATGTACTGTGACATCGCTCCGGTCACAATCACATCGATGTACTTACAATTACTCCAAACCCTAGGTATGATCCCTCTCCACGACGGCGACGATGACGTGTCGTCCCTCCTGCACTCCCTCTCGAGGAAATCGGCCAGTCCAGGGTTCGGTCCGACCAGAACCCTGGACACGGCAAGCCTGACCACAGGGTCGGTGACGATTCTGTGGTCGACAGTGCCGTTTCTGACATCCTTGCAGAGCGAGGTCCAGTTGTTTTCGAAAAACTTTATGGCCCTGATGAACCCCGAGGCGAAAACCGCCCCGACGCGGAGGACCTCGTGGCGGAGGACGAGGCCGCAGAGGAGCTGGGAGTACATGCTCTGGTGGGTGTCGTTGCAGAGGATGGTTTCGGTGGGGCTTGTGTAGTTGGTGTAGGGATCGTTGGCGGCTCTGGCTCGGGCGAAATGGCGGGATTTGTAGTAGCTGGTGAGGACCGGGCGAGCTGGGAGTCCCGATGGAGTTTTGGATTCGGATTTGACGAAGAGGAAGTACATTCCTTTGCCGTTTTGGAGGTTGGGGAGGAACTGGTTCATGACTGGCATGATTAGGCTGTAGAGATGGGATTTCCTGTCGAGCTCTTCGTCGATCGTCGGCATCAGTTTCCTCTCCCCTGCCGACGTCCCAGAACTGTGGAAGAGCGAAGAGGGTAGGTATTAAATGAAGGACAAATTACTGACCATTTGGAGGAAAAACTTATGTGTGGATAGGTTGGCCGGAAAGCTGACTATTTTTTAGGGAAATATAGTTTGTGTGATAATGCTTTTTAGATCACGTATATTACATAAAGTCTGATTTTTTTAGCTCACAGGAATCTAAATTTGAATTTGAGAAGAAATAAATATAGATCAATTAAGAATAGTAGGATAATTAAGAAAGAAATATGAGTGTGTGGTAGGTGTAGGTGACACATTCTAATTGAATTATTGAAAAATGAAACAATTAACTAAATATTAAACTACCCTTTTATCCGTTGGTTGTTTGCCTCCAAGTTTCAACTTAATATAGAGATAGGAAATTACTCTTTCAATCTAAATTATTAGATCTACGAATGCAAAAAAAAAAAAAAAAAAAAAAACAGAACAGAAAATAGAGTTAGTAAGACATGCATCTGATGGTTGGGAAGAGTGCTGACATGTATGCATAGAAATACTGAAATTTTGAATGATGAAGTGTGTAAATGGATAAACTTTTTTTCATATTTTTATAAATTCTGAGTCCTAATCCCTTCTTATAATTTAATATCATATAGTATAGTTTGATGATTAGAAACAATTATGAATTTGATTTTTTTTTAATGAATTGCTGCTTAGTTTATTATCGAAAAGGAATTCATCCATAAGCAAAGGACTTGGTCCAATAATTAAAATACAATATAGGTGGCTGAAGGTTGAGATGCAAAGAGTACGAACAAGATTTTGCAATATGAAATACTAAACCTCTTTACAGCCTGTTTGGATAGACAAAAAAACTCAGGAATTGGAATTCTATTTTCAATTTCAGTTTCATATTTTATGTTTGGAAGGACAAGAAGGTTGAGAAATGAATTCCATTTGGGCTAAGTTTTGGAAATTACAATTCCTATCAAAAGTGATAGGAATTGTGTTTATGAAGATGGAATTAGTGGGTCCCATCACTATTTATTATTATTTTATTAACCAACTATCATCCTACTCTCTTTCTCTATCATTCATATTTCACTTTCCAAGATAAAATAAATATATTACATTATTAATTATTGTTAAAAGTGCAATTCATTTCTTTAGTTGAAGGAATTATACCAAACACTAAAATTGGAAATGGAATTCTATAAAAATAGGAATTGGAAATAGAATTTCATTTCCATTTCTTCTTGAATTGTATCCAAACAGGCTGTTAAACTGGTTATTAAGAAGAAGAAGAAGAATAGGACTGGAACAAATTCTATACATGCATGCCAGCTGCTCGACGAAATACGTACTTACCTGGTTAAGAACTCGGAGATGGGCTGGGAGCAGAGGATGGGGGAAGTGTCGCCACTGGCGATACGGTCGATATCCGGCTTCACATCCTCGTAGGTGACTACAGGGATCAGCTTCTTGAAACTGGCCTTGTCAACGTTGCTCCCAGTGGCGGACCCAGGATTATGGAAGAAGGGTGTCGCCCATAAAAAATTATAATAATTAAAATAATTAAATAAAAATTAATAGAAATTACTGGAAATTCATTTATAAGTTGACAACGTCATGTTTATTACGAATTATGACCATTTTTTATATCCTGAATTTTTTTAAAAATACATTCATCGCTTATGTTGCAAATCAAACATTTTTCGATATACACAACTACATAATCATTCATAAATTAGTCACTCAACCAAAGAGTATCGACCTACGTCTAAAATCAAAGTTAAAATAAAATAGTTTACAGTCAAATATAGTAAACCACGATCTACCAATTGCCAATTTTAGATAACACAAAGTATGGCTAAAGCAATATCATTAGCATTTTTTCTCTAGTTCTACCAAATTAACCAAAATCAAGCCACAATCTCCCATAAATCTACGCAATTCACCTATTAACTACAAATTAACAAGTTAAATTGGTTTGTGGGTTACTTAAAACAAGCACACCTATTTGATTTTACTTATTATTGTTAATTACTAATTATGATGAATAACTTTATAACATTAAAATTATTTTCGTATAATAAAAGTGTGTCGCTTATAATTATTAGAGCGGTGTCGGAAGTCTCAAATTAATATTTTTTGTACCGAAAAAATGGAGGTCCTTCACAAAATTTTCGGGCGGAGGGGTGTCGGACGACACCCCTCCCCAAGCCCTAGGTCCGCCCCTGGTTGCTCCGGTTAAGGCCATGCCTTCGCAAGTACTCGACGCCGGAGTTTCTTGCCAGGATCTCGGCGAGAACCTCGTTTTGGACATCGTCGGCATTGCTCGTCACTTGCTCGATGAATTCGAGCGCAGTTTTGTTTTTATGATCAGTTTCTGCGACGTCGGACATGGCTGTGGAGAGCTTGAGATGGAGAGGATTATGGAGAGCAGAGAAGGGGTAAAAGAAATGTATGGTGACTGTGAAGGGAGAGAATGGAGGGAAGGGAGATGGGTATATATAGGAGACTAGGCATGTGGGCTTTGCTTGTGTAACCCACAAAGACAAAAGGGCATGCAAAAGTCTTCGTTGGAATAGTGAGTAATGTACAGTTGGATGCTATATATTCAATAGTACTTACTGATCAAACCAGACACACACGAGAAAAAGACATATATCGTGCAAACTTTTGGCAAGAGGACCCGGGAGGGATACCATAGAGGGAGCACGTTGGCGTATTCAACATTTCACTTGAGGTCCAAATCGGAGATGGTGTTGTTCAAATTTTTTTTTTAAAATCCACGAACATATTTTGGTTTTTCAAAACAATTTCACCCATATTTGTCATCTTTAAGTTTAGAGCAAAGCATGGTAAAGAAAACTGTACCAGAATTCATACATTATTCGTCAATGGTAGGGTATTTTATGGTACGACCGTAGTTCAACCGCAGTGTGCCGGTAAAATATCGTTTTTGGTATTAAAAAATATTTTTTTTTGATAAAAAATCGTACTGACAGATTCAGGATACCGTTTCGGAGTAGTACCGGATAACAAACCTGAATAAACTAAATAGGCATAGGTAATATAACAATCAACAAACTGCAACATTACTGAATAAACTACATAATCGTCCAACCGGTATTATTTGGATCAAGGACCTATTGATCCAACCGACTTGTATGACCAACCCAACCATCGTTCAAGGGATGTTTGGAACGATCACGATGTACATACAATTCTTCATCATTTGTCTTTCTTTTACTTTGATAATGTACTTAATGGAATATAAAATAAATTTCAAATAATTTAATGTATTGGTTGTTTCCAATAATTTAATCGAATACATAACGCCACTTACTTCGACTCTTTTATAAAGAGATGCACGTCTAAGGAAATGGGGTTTTAAGCGATTATCATGATCCTCCCATTTCCTGGGAAAATCGGGGATCCTCGGATTCCCCCTTTTCTGTCAAAAAGGCTTCGTTTCTAAGAAGATGTATACCTCTTCTAAGAGCCTAACGAGTGTCAAAACCGCAACATGTTTGATGTCGGAAAATAATTACGACACACAAACCGCATGGGGGGGGGGGGGTTGGGTGCGGTTTTGCTAGGTTAGGCCATGAACTGCACCTAGGCCATGCGGTTCTGTTAGGTCAGACCCAGAACCGCATGGCCAAGATGCGGTTTTGGCCCTGAATATTAAACCGCAAGTTGGGCGTGCGGTTTAAATATAAACCGCACCAGGGGCGTGCGTTTCACAATCAAACCGCACTTTAGAGGTGTGGTTTTTAAAAAGGATGCTATTTTTGTAATTTCTTTGAACTGGGTGCTATTTTTGTAATTTTTTAAGTGCTATTTGTGAAAAAATCCCAGAAACAAAGACGAACTAGTAAAACACACAAAAATGGATGTCTCCAAACTTTGGAGTCCAAAGTGTGTTTTGTTGCTTATACATCTGAATGATAATGACAGCAAAAGAGGTCGCGGCGTCCTTGACGGAACGGAACGAAAGGTGCATGCCTGGCGCAGATTTTGCGTCAAATCATTAAAAAGTCTAATTAATTAGCCCTCTGTGCTATATTATATATCACTTATGAAGTTATGATTGGACATATTGAGAAAAAAAAAAAAAGACATTGATTAGCTCTAATCATTCATATGTTCTTTCCAGCTAGTGTAACTAACTTATCGTAATCAAGGAAATGGCCAAATTAATGGCTTCTTTATCTCCAAATCACATATATAGGCATTTCACAATCTAAACGAGCGTGCAAAGTTTTATCCCACGTTTTCCATCAATGCATGATTAGCAACACAAGGTGTGGTAGAACTACGTGTGGTTAAGGAGGGGTTACAACTTCACGTCAATATTTGGTATGAAATTATAATACGTGCATATGTATATGTGGCAGGATGAAAATTATTAGTCCTCCCTCCTTCAATCATCTAAATTTTAATCCTGATAACTGTTTTCATTTTGAACGTCTCTTAAGTCTATTTCATTGGTTCCCTGATGAGGATACGTATTGTATTTGGTGGATCCATAAGTATGATATAACTCGATTCAAATCACAACTAAGATCTATCCATCATGTATGTATGAACCCAAGTCCGCGAAACATTTTCAGTGTCCTACCAAAGCCCAATAGAGAAACATAAGCTTCTTTTAAAAAAAATATATAAATAGACCATTAGGCATTCCAGGTAAGTGACCTCTCTTCCTCCACTCATTTCAAGCTTTCCATTTCCCTATCTTTACTTTCCATATTATTCTTCAAAAAATTATACTAATGTGGATCGTCGAAGCGTAGATGACCAGAATCCTGCCTTTCCACAAACAGTATACCCTAATAAGATAAGTTTATTGAACCTTTACTAATAAGAGTTTGATGAACAGATTCCCTCTGTTCTAGGGTTTTGCTTGTAACTCACAAGCGAGAGAAAGACGTTGGTGTCTATAAACCTTTGATTTATTTGATTGATACCGAACTAATGCCAAAGGTACATATTTATAGGCTTAGAAAAGCCTAAGACTTGACCTAATCCTACCCGAATTCGGCTACCCCTTCCCAAACACAAAAGGAAAACTTGACCCAAAAGGAAAAACACCCTAGCCCAAACCGAAACTACCCAAAGCCCAAAACATGGAAAATACCCTCATCAATCCTCCCCCCTTGAAATCAACCTTGTCCCCAAGGTTGTCCCTCGCCATCTTCTTCCTCGAACAAGCACATCACCTTTGCGTTACTGCATTTATGCCCGATGGTGAACCGCTCGTCGCAGTTGAAGCAGAGGCCTTGAGCTCGTCGCAGCTGCTGCTCCTCCCAGCTCAACCTCTTCCCTCCTGGCGGTCCACGCGCTGGTCCTCCTCCGCCTTGAAATCCCGAGCTTGCAGTTCTCGGATTATAGCCACCTCCTCCGCCGGTAGAGCCACCTCCACCACTGCCCGTCGGCCCTCCTCCTCCGGCAAACGACACCGTGCGACCAGCCGGCTTATTACGCTGGATCTGATCGTTTTTCATCCTGGCCAAACTAATGGCGTCGCGCAAAGACTGGGGACGAAACATTCGGATCTCATCAGCGATCTCCGATTTTAAGCCTCCCAAATAAGTGCCCACCAATGCCTGTTGCGTCCAGCCAACGCAGCGATTAGCCAATTTCTCGAACTCCTTCTGGTAGTCGCGCAGGGTTCCAGTTTGACGAATCCGCGACAGGGCTTCGTCGCAGCTCTCTCCTTCAGTCGGACCGAACCTCGCCCACAGCTCCTGCGAGAACAGCCCCCAAGAAACTGGCTCCCTAGCGTCTTTGTAGGTGCGCTTCAGCCATTGCCACCACTGATTTGCCTCCCCTTCCAGATGAAAGGCAGCTAGCGGCACCTTCTGATCCTCCGGAACCTCCTGGTACTCGAAAAACTGCTCAACTCGTGGAAACCACGATCCAGGATCATCCCCCGCAAACTTCGGGAACTCGAGTCTCGCGAGCTTGGCCAGAAAACCTCCCCCGCCACTGCTACGACCACTCCCGTCACCGCGCAGTTTGCCGAAACTCCCCTGCACGGCCGAGTCGCGGTGCCGAGCGCCGCTGCTGTCGCCGAACTTGGACTTGGACTCGCCCTTCTCGCCGGTCTTTGGCCCGGTCGTGCTCCTTTCGCCAATCTTCATCCCGGTCGTACTCTTCTCTCCCTCCTTCTCCTCCGAGCTCTCCTCATCGCTACCAGAGCCCACCGGCCCTATGCCCGCCCGCTGCGGAATCCACGCGTCGAGCTTGGCCAGCACCGTCTCCATCATGGCCTCGATCCTGGTCATGCGCGCCCCTTGGGCGGTGACCTCCGCCGTCAGATTCGCGATATTCTCCGTATTGGTCGCGATTCCTGCCTGCATCTCCTCGAACGCTGCCTCTAACGCCGAGCATCGTTCAGCTGCCGTGCCGGTACCCATTGCGAACAGATCCCGAACGGATTCGGAACCAGGCTCTGATACCAATTGATGAACAGATTCCCTCTGTTCTAGGGTTTTGC